CGCCCACCTGTCTGGCTCCATGGACGGCATTAGAGCGGAGAGCGGCCGCAGCTCCCTCGCGCCAGGCACGCCTCCCCACACGCCCACCTGTCTGGCTCCCTGGACGGCATTAGAGCTGAGAGCGGCCACAGCTCCTTCCCGCCCACCCGCACGCACGAGCAGAGATCGGAGAGTGGACAGCTGCCGCCAGGTACACATAAGACATCCCCCGAAAATAAGACCTAGTGTCTTTTTTCGTGGAAAAAAAAATATAACACACTGGGGTTGATTTACTAACCTAATAACCACGCCATGAACAAGTATACACCTCTGTAGTATGTTCCCTCCCAGCATGATCTATTGGTGGAATCTAGACACCTTTGTAGTGTGTACACACCCAGCAGGTGCAAAGCCCTGCCCTGAATTGCAAGGTGATGTTGTGTAAATTAGCTCTATGTTGTGTTGCTTGCGTTGATGAATGCAGGAATGTAAATGCATGAGCTAACCATTTTTGTCTAAACTGTGAAGCAGCATTATATATGCATCATGTGCATGATTTTTCCATGTATGGCATTAGTGGAAATATGCTTTTAGAGACTTTTTGGTGGATAAATACGTTTTGCTGTGTAAAAATCACACGCACCTAGTGCGTGCGTGTGTTTAGGTTGGTAAATCACCCCCACTGTCTTATTTTCGGGGAAACACGGTATGTATGTCATCAGTAAATTTAGCTATGTTCCTGGAGATCAGCTTTAAAATCCTACAGACCTTAAATTGTGACTGACCATACATGCATCACCCAGCCACCAAACAATCATTCTTACAAGTGATACTTATTGAACAGATAGTTCAGAAACTCATAATCAACCGATGGCTGACCATAGATAAGAACATAACTGGTTGACTTAATTTGGCTAAGCTGATAATGATTCATTTACAGGTACTGAAACATTTTCTTATTATAGCTTACTCATGTGGTTTTGTCTAGTGGGAACATTGTTTTATAAAGGGGTTGTAGCAGTGACCTCTACTAGCCTCATGTTCCCAACATCTTACTGTTTTCTGCAGCTTTTGTCTCCATTTTCCAATCAAACCTGTACACCAGGTATCTGCAAAAATAGTGCTTGCAGCATTTTTGCGGATCGCACTGGACTGGAACACAGGCACTAATGCAGGCGATCGCACTGTGGGCGAGGGGCCTGCCTGCGCAGCCTACGCCCCCTCCCGCCCCTGAATTCAGGTGTTTTTTCGTTGGTAGATCTCAATGAGCTTGTCATTTGAAAAGTAGATCTCCAGATGAAAAATAGTGGGCGCCCCTGCTGTACACAGTCTGTGACCATCAGTTTCTCTATTATGTCTGCAATGTATACCAGGGGTAAGCAAACTCGGCCTTCCAGCTCTGGTGAAAATACAAATCTCATACATACATCTGTCTCTGGGAGCCATGCCTGTGGCTGTCAGAGTCCTGCAATACCTAATGGGATTTGTTGTTGCACCAAAGCTGGGGGGCCGGAGTTTGCCGACCCTCCCTCTATACCTCTATGCCCTCGCTCTATTCAGTCATAACAGTGGATTGACAACCACTGTTGTGACTGAATAGGGAGACCGAGGACAACATGTACAGTATATATGATGATCAGCACATTACAGAGAAGTGTTGTGCTGCTAGTTTTCTAAGTATTGAAAATCAGATTTTGGGATATCCAACCAAAATACCTAGTTCATTAAAGACCAGCTTGCAGACCTTGCAAAAGAAAATGTATAATATTGACAACAAACATGATTAGCTTTGTAAGAACCAGAAAAATAAATCCTAAAAGAACTTTGCAAAATCAGGTGATATTTTGAAGGAATACAAAAACACCGACCTCTCCTTATCTCCAACACCCCTCTGCATAATAATAATAAAAGACCAATTGCTTTTAATACAACCAATGCTGGATTTTCATAGCTCGGGATTAGCTTCATTGTTATCAGTTAGCTCAATATAATTCTTTAAAATAGCTGGAGCTGTTAAACCCATTACTGTTGTCCTTGTGTTGTTTTTATTCCACTGGCATCCTGAATCATCAGCTTGGATGACATTCAGAACCTAATTATTTCATGCATACATTTCACCTATTGTATATTTTAGCAGAACATGTAAGACGTTACCTAGGGAACAGATTGAAAGAATGTTACATTTTCCCAATATATACTAGACAACTGTGTATTTATCTTCAATCAGTTTCTCAGTGCAAAATATGGGAAAGTACCATCTGTTAATGGCTGGCCTAAGAGTTCTTTAAAGGCTAATTTGCAATATAATATAAATAATATAATATAAATTATAGTACAACCCACGGAATCATTATATAACAGCGAGATAAAGACAAGAAATGCAGGAAAAGTGAAGAAAAATATTTTAATTTAATTATGTAGATCTGATGTGAATAAGCCTGGAAAACTTCACCAGTAACAATGTTTATGTTTAACTGGGAGGCACACAGACATGAATGGTAGGAATGAAGACTATGGTAAAAGATGATGCACTTTTTAAGATAACAAACATATGTTAAAAATGAAAGTGTATCTAAACACAAGAACAAAAATTACATTTATTGCAGCTAACTAGTCCTTAGATGTGGTGGCTGCATTTGTTTTCAACACAAGGATACAGAGAATGCATTATATATGTATTTATGTTTGTGCCAACTTCACAGCATAGAGGTGTATTGGTGTGTGCTGCATAAAACTGCGGCAAGTCTGCATTTATACACAATGCCTTACAACGCTCCACAGCACCCTGCAATGTGCTGTTGTACATAGAGTTGAATGAACTGTCATTTTGTCTGTCTGTCATTTCAATAAAGTTAAAAACAAAATAGTGTATTGAACACCCCCCTACACAGCGCACACCAGAGCACATTATACCGACCGCTGATGTAAAGGGGCCCTTTATTCTTTTTATGCCTTTATTTTCATCTGATCATCTTGGCCAACTATACACTTCCTGTCTTAGGGCCCATTCACACCACATCCAGATCATCCCCAGACCAGATTGTTTCTGGACCCAAAATGCATCCTAATGTATCCCTATGCTATTTCTGGTCTCTGTTCACACCAGCACAGTCCGTTCCAGACCAGAAAAATACTGCATGTCTCATTTTGTCTGGTCTGGACTGCACTGTAATGCATGGAAACACATCACAAATGCATACAAACGCATGCAAGCGCAGTGGAATACACCTGAAAGCCCATTTTAAGCTAAAGAAAAAAATTACAGAATGCGGCATAATCATGGCAAAAACGCCGCAAAATGCAATGCACCCCGTTCCAGATCTGGTCCGGAAAATGGTATGAACCTGGCCTTAGGGTGACAACACTCACTCAATGTACCTATCTACGAAAAAGCCACGTTGTTCACTCCTTATTTTGACTACAGAACACATCCCCGCTACTCATCTGCATAACATGTGTTCTGTAGTTCACAGAGGTAACTTAGCAGGGCTGACAATATTCTTTGAGATTTCAGTGCACAACAGGCAGAGAGCACAGAATGTCAGAGGCTCACTGGATTTCTGGCAGAATCAACAGGTATTTTCTTGCACCTAAACATTTATCACTAATGCTTTCTATAGCATATATAATGGACACAAAAATGGGAGAAAGTAAGAGATGTTCATGTTTAGGGTGCACATATACT